AGACAAATAAATAAAATTTAAAAAAAAAAAAAAAAGTTAATGTTAACAGTGAAACAGGGGCCGGGGAAATAGCTCAGTTGAATAGGCGCTTGCCTGGCAAGCTCAAGGGCCTGAGTTCAATCCCTGGCTCCGCAAAAAACAAAACAAAACAGTGAAACAGAGTTTCCAAGCTGGTTGTAAGGAGACAGTAGTTCATACATACTGTATTGTCTTCCTGATGGTTGTTCAAAGTAGAAGATTCATGCATGCTATTTTGTACTGACCTGTATTGCCAGCATTTTTATTTTTTATTATTTTTTTGTATTTTAGGGAAGGGTCTACAGAACATTCAGGGTCTCACTACTAGATTGGACTCATTGTGATCCACTTGCTTACAGCCTCCCAAGAGCTGGAATTATAGGCACATGCCACCATACCTCAATTGCCCTGGGGTAGGGCCGGCCCAGGGAGCGAATCCCCAGCCCCTGCGCCTTAATCTGCCGAGCTATTTGGCCGGCTCTTCCCAGCCCTTTTGGATTCTTATTTAAAACTGGGTCTCACTAAATCACTAAGTTGTTCATGCTGGTCTCAAGCCTGTGATCCTCCTGCCTCACACTCCTAAGTAGCTGGGATTGTAGGCATGTGCCACTATACCCAGTCCCCTGCTACCTTGAACTTCGTAGTGAGACCCTATCTCAAAAAGCAAAAAAAGCAATGGTAAATATATTTTAAAAAGTTTAACATCACGAATGAGAAATGCAAATTACAATAATACTGAGATTTCATCACCAGAAAGAGCAGCTATTATCACATCAGCTAATAACTAATGCTGTCAAGGCTATGAGGAAAAATGAACCCTTCACTGTTGATGGTAGTGTTGACTGATGCAACTACTTTGAAAATTAGTGTAAAGAGTCTTCAAAAAACTAAAACTGGAGGTTCCATTCAACCCCACTGTTTCCCTTCTTGGTATCTTCCCAAAAGATGTCTTTACATCATACCACAGTGACATATGTACTCATCTTTATAGCTGCACAGTTTGTAGTAGCTAAATCTTGGAAACAGCCTAGATGCCCATCAACTGGTGAGCAGATAAAGACAAAGATGTGGGTTTTTATGTATACACAACAGAGTACTATTCTGCCATAAAGAAAGATAGGCTTGAGATGTTTCTTGGTAAATGGATGTACCTAGAGACTATATTGTTAAGTGAAATAAATCAGGCATGTATTTAAATATTCCATTGTCCCTCTGGTGTGAGGAACCAAACATGTAAAAAAAAATAATAAATAAATAAAAACATGTAAAGAAGAACCAAAATGTATAATAGGTATTGGGAAATGGGAAGAAAGCATTCAAATGTGAAGGGGAAAGGAAAAAAAAATAGAATGAAAAAGTAGAAACAAAGCTTTTGTGAATAAGGAGAGAAGAAGAGTTGAAGGTAGGGTGAAGAAGTAAAAAAGCTAGATATATCATGTATAGGCATAGCCTTATGATGAATGTGATCATTATACCTAAACTGTACCAATAAAATAAAATTTAAAAAGATTGAGGAGGGCCAGGGATGTAATTCAGCCTCATAAGCGCCTGTGTGACAAGTGCAAGGTCCCAGTTTCAAACCCTGGTACCAAATAAAAGCATTGGGGAGCCTCTGGTTCATTTTATAAATGTTTAAAAATGGAGCAGTTGGGGCTGGTGAGATGGCTCAGTGGTCTAAAGCACCTACTTAGAACAAGCTTAGCAAAGCACGGGGACCACGGTTCAATCCCCAGCACCACATGCCAGCCAGGGGCGCCCCCTGGTGGGCTGAGCTGGCCACACACACAAATAAATAAAAAATTAAAAAAAAAAAAAAAATGGAGCAGTGGAAGTGGGCTGCAGTCCTCAAATCCCTGCGCTCTTGAGGCTGAAGCAGGATGGTCAACGCTAAAGTGAGACCTTGTCTTGAGAAACAAAATACTTTTTTTTTTTTTTTTTGGCGGTACTGGGGATTGAACTGAGGACCCTGTGCTTGCCAGGCAAGTGCTTATTCTACTGAGCTATCTCCCCAGCCCCTTTGAAAAACAAAATACTGATCCTTGATTTTAGCAATAAAATTAGTATACTCAAAATCTGTGGAAGCTGTAATACAGCCGTATTACAGTCTGGAGTCACCTAGAGAAGTGCCTAACGTTTCTTTGTCCTTTGCCCCTTAGGATGGTGACAAAGATGACGAAAGTGATAGAGAAATGGAGCACCACAGTGAGGACAGCTTGGATTAGACCCTGGGCAGCTGCACTGTTTCCACTGGCCTCCTCCCTGTTTAATATTGAGGGTTTTCTACAGGAAGCAGGCATCCTGTTCCTGCTTCTAGAGACTGGGTGCTGTCTGAGTCCTATAGACTGTGTGCTCGCATCCGAATCTCTGGCTTAGGGTCCAGTGCTGCAGGATTTGCTGTTTGGCTGGACACAGCAGTGCTTTGCAAGCCATCATTAAAAGTTACTTTAAAATTAAGGCTTATACCAGTTTTACAAATAAATGTTTTCCTGCACTTTGCCTCAGCTACCTCATTCCACTTTTTAGATTTTGTGCATTATTCACGTAAGTGTAGAATTGAAGTTTATGCAAAGAAAGAATGGGCATTGGTGCCAAGATAGTTCTACTGCTCAAAATCATTATCTGTTATTAAGGTCCGGCCTTAGTTATTTCATGTTGCTGAAATAAAATACCAGCAGCCAAAGTTAAGGGAAGAAAGACTACTGTCTGCGAAGTCTGGCTGCAAGGCAGGCTGGCATGGCAGAAGGCCTTCCTTCTCTACAGCCGGGTGGGGCTTTTTTATCCACCCCTTTTATCCACATTCAAACCCTAGCATCTT